GGGTTCCTTCTATTTGTCTAGATGATACAGCTTGATTAAGCAACTGGGTTAGTACCTCCATTCCAATGATGAAAAGATAAAGAGAAATGGGGTCTCCTTGTCTTACTCCCCTGCTTAATTTGAAATGTTCATGGGTTTCTCTTACTAATTTTATGGAGAAGCGAGTAGTAGCTTGCACCACTTTTCAGGAAACTCCATCTTTTTTAGCACTTGCAATAGATATGACCAGCCCATTCTATCAAAAGCCTTGGACATGTCTATCTTAAGCGATATGTGCTTTTTACCTCTTTTCTGGGTTTTCATCCTGTGCAGTAATTCCTTCACTAGTAGGATGTTATCTGTGATTTGCCTTCCTTTTAGAAAACCCAACTGATAGGAGGAGATTAGGTCCTGCAATACTGGCTGCAATCTAAGCACCAACCGTTTGGAGATTATTTTGTACATTACATAGGCTAATAGGTCGGTAACTTGTAGCATCAGTTAGGGTCCTATGCAATTAACTCCCAGAAATGTTGGTAAAAAAAGGCTGTGAATCCATATGGTCCTGGAGCTTTGTGTGGTTGAACTGTTTGACCACTAATGCCAGCTCTTCTTGAGTGGGTGGGGTGAGGAGTAGGTTTTTTTGCTCCTCTGAGTGTAGGGAGAGATACACTGTTGAGCTGATTGGGATCAAAGTCTTCTGGTTGGCCACTTATGGTTAGGATGGCTTCCTTGAACATTTTGGCTATGGTGTTTCTGTCTGATGTCCATGCCCCTTCTGAAATCTGAAGCCATTCTAGGTTGTTATTTTTTATGTTTTTGTGGCTTGCAATGTGGTGAAAGAACTTTGTGTTTTTATCACCATTTTTTAACCAGAGCTCCCTTGATTTCAGTCTCCATAATTGTTCCTCTTTGAGAAGCCAGTATTGGTATTGTTTTAGGAGGGATTGGAGTTTTCTCTTATGGTCATCTTCCGAAGTTTCCATTTGCAGCGTAGATATCTGCTGTGCCAGTTTCTGAATGTGATGTTGGATTTGCCCGAATTGGTTTGTGTTCCATTCTTTTAATTCTGCTTTACAAACCTTCAATTTGGTGAGGATTTGGTGGGCAGGGGATCCATGAATTTGTTGTTGCCAAGAATCTTCAATGATTTGCTTGCACTGAGGGTGTTCAATCAAAAAATATAAGAAGTGGAATTGAGGTTTTCTTCTTGGTGGGGTTGGCATGGTGTTAATTGAGATAGGCCCATGGTCTGAAGTTGTTATTGGGTGACGATGTAGTATAGCTTCTGGGTACAATTGACACCAGTTGGAGGTGGCCAAGGCTTTGTCTAGTCTTTCCAGCACTTTTGATAGTCCATGTTGTCCATTGGTCCATGTGAAAGGTGGCCCCACATAGTCAAAGTCCACTAAGTCAAATTTTCTTATGAAGCTTTGGAGGTGTTTTGAGAGATGGGGCTGTTTTCTTTTGAGAGACTTATGATCTTCTTGTTTGTATATTTCATTCAGGTCCCCCATTAGAATCCATAGTACTGTGGTTACAGATTGTGTTTGGGCTATTTTCTGCCACAACTCTTTTCTATGCTTTTGAACTGGGTGCCCATAGAATAGCAATGCTTGCCATTTATTTCCTTGGGGGTGGTTTGTGATTTCTAAATGGATCAAGTGGGTGGTTTGTGTTCTACATGTAATGTAGGTATTATTTTATACTAATTTTTTTATTTATAAAAAATATTAAAAATTGCAATTTGAGGACATTTTTTTTTTGAGAAAATAGAAGGGCAAGGCACCTATGGCTCCTTGGGATGCATAAATATCGAAAAGTTATCCAAAATAAAAAAAATCACCTCAATCAAACATTGGAGTGCAAAGTTATGGCCTCTTCAAATTTTCATACACATTTAGTGTGCAACCCATAACTCGGTCACCAGGTTGAATGGGTCAATGATCCAACCGTTCAGGTCAGACATTTTTTGACCAAGTCAATAATTTTTTTACCTCCTTCCGGGTTTTACTCAAACTAGACTTGGAATCTTGACAGGGTGATGGTTCGAGTAGTGCAATCGATCGGGTTCAACCAAACCCAACCTGTTGGAAACCCTAAATATATATATTTTTTAATTTAGTTATAAGTTTTTTATCTAAAAAAATATAAAAAAATACAATTTGAGGGAAAAAAGGGGTTTTGGCAAAAATAGTTACCCAAAATAAAAAAAAAAATCACCTCAATCGGACATTGAAGTGCATGTTATGGCCTCCCAAAGTTTGCATACATATTTAGTGTGCAACTCGTGACCTAGTCATTGGGTCGAACGAGTTATCATTGTTTTGTTTTTTGTTTTATTCAATGCCATTGTTGTGATTAATTAAATTTGTAATAGTAAATTTCACATGCCCCAAACTCCACATGTGTAAATGCTATTTACTTCATTCTCATGCAGCCACATCTTCTCCCCTTATGCCCCCTTGTGCTTTAAGTATATATAAGATATCATCAAAATAGACAACAATAAATTTGCTTAGAAAAGCTTCAACAACTGAGTCATCTTCCTCATGAAGGTGGATGGTGTATTGAATAACCCAAATGGCATAACTAGCCACTCATATAGGCCTTTACAAGTCTTAAAGGTTGTCTTCCATTCATCTCTTGGCCCGATGCAGATGTTAGTGATAGCCACTATTCTGTTATATCTTTATGAAAAATGTGGCCTAATTGAGTTGGTCCAACATCTCCTCCAACCAAAGTATGGGGAATTGGTAGGGGATAATTCGGTTAAATCCAAAAAACCGAACCAAAAATTTCAATTTTGATTTTTCGGTTCGGTTTCCTTGGTTTTTTATTAATTCGGTGTTTGAACAATTCCATTTTCAGTTTCAGTTTTTAAAATTAGAAATTTGCTTAACTGAATTAACGAAACTTTGAAATTTGCTTTCACAATATATATTATAATATATAGCATATACATTATTAAAATTCAGTTTTAACCAAAATAACCGAAAATTTCAATTTCAGTTATTTTGATTATTCTATAATTTAATTTTAATTTGATTTTTTTAATTCGATTTTAAAATTTTCGATTTATTCAATTCAGTTCTTAACCGAATACTCACCCCTAGGAATTGGTACTTTATAGTAATATTGTTGATGAGATGACCATCTATACACATTCGCCAAGAGCCATCCTTCTTAGGAATGACATCGGGCAAGTATTCAAAGTGGGTTGGATGTGTCCTTTTTGGATTAAGTCATTCACTTGTCTCTATGGTTCTGTATGTTTTTGAGATTGAGTCAATATGTGGGATGAGGATCTAGAGTCTCTCATGAATAGTTGATGTGACCTCACAACCGGAAGTCGTGACAAGGGACAACATCAATTCCTCCCTCCTGGCCTCACTCTTAAACTCCTTGTGAAACAAAAGGGTGAAGGCGATCTTGGACTTCTTCTATTGCTCATGATGGGACCTTCTAGCCTAAGCACAAACTTGGACTAGGGGCTTGCCCTTGAGGGCGTCGTAAAAAAAATGCGTGTATCTATACATATAGAAATAATTTTAAAATTTAAAGACAAATTTTCTACTATAACCTTCCATTGATTGATAATAGAATAACTATAAAACATACAAAGATGTAAAGCATCCCCAATTTAGGACAACTGATGTCACCTACCCTTTGTTTACTTTTGCCCTTCTATATATTACACTCTTAGTTTAATACCCTTGATATATTACAATTTGTGCCATATTGCACATTCCCATCAAATTCAGATTTGCCCTCACAAAGCACTCCTCACAGCACTTATAGCCACAGATTGGGAACATCTTTTGTATCTGCACATTACATTGTCATTCATGGAAAGATATTCCCAATGCACGGCTGCACCTTGTTGTGAGATTGATGTGAGAAACACTCTATGAGGAGCAAATCCGAATACGTGCCCACCTGTCCCCTAAACAAGTTTCCTCTATTAACCTTCGCATCAGCCAACTCATTGGCTGATTTATGATTCCAATTGAAACTAGGCTCAGTTTGGAAAGAGTGCAAATACAAATACAAACATGTCGATGTTTCCTCTACCGTAGCCGCCAAAATTTAGGTTAATCAGGTTACCCCCATCTAGAAATCACCCCATCGGTGGCCGATGATGATTGAGCTATGAAGCTATCCAATGCTATCCTCTTCAAATGCCTTCAAATGAAAATGAATTCAAAAGTTGCAACGTCTTAATCCAATGAATCACCCTTATTGTGATGGACTCAATGATTGGAGCCTAAAGACATCTCCAACCAGATTCCTATGCCTTGCAAAGCATACATACAAAATGATAAAATCCTAACTATATTTATCTATTTACACCATAGTTCAAAGTACCGATAATATTTATTGTGAGTATTAAAATAGCAATTGTGTCTTTTTTTTTTCCAATTCAGTACTTTAAAGATAAATATGTTAAGAGGGGTTCTAATATTTAAACATATAGAAACCCCTAAATCCTAGTGTATAGTGCACAGGGGTTCTGCCTTTGGAGTCTAGACTCTACGCATAGGGTGTTGGAATCCCTGATGCATGATTCATTAAAGTAAATACCTGAAATTTACACTTCGAGCTAATTAATTGATCAAATCATGATTGCTATTTGCTGGGGGGGGGGGGGGGGGGGGTACACCCGGGTTGTGTAGCCCATTTTTGCCATTACCAAACAAAAAATAAAATACTGAAATGTACTTAACTCCATTAAGGGTCATCATATCTAAACTGTGTTTAGTGCATCACTTCAAGCAACGATTCAAGATTCAAATTCATGTAGGCTATGGAACATTAGAATAAAACAGATTATTAGTAGCTTCGGCACAATCACCAGTATCAGAATTCAGAAGTTCAAAACTTCAGGTCATTTGGAACTGGGGTTCACAGACCTGCGAACATGGCATGAATGAATAATTTGCTTTTTATTGCCACTACGTATTAAGAGATCTCTCTTGTAATTCGAGAGTTCCTTAGTTTAATTTCTCTTGGAAGCAATCAAAGTCACAAAGATGATAAAACATTTATTCTCTAGACTTGGCCAGTTGCAATTTACAAATAGGATTTCTTCGGTTACACAAAATCACAAATGCCATAACCGTTGCAGAGACAAAGCCTTTCAGGAAACAAGGATCAGACTGAGCAATGACATTGAAAAACGGCCGGCTGGCCCACACAAACAACACGTGAACAGAGATAAAGAAAAGGTTATTGTGTTTACCATTCATTATTAGAAGTAATACTACAAGTACTTGATCAGCGCCCAAACAACAACAGCCAGAATCACAATTCCAATAACTGAGAAAAGCAAGCACATGCAGGAGCAACCTCCCTTGGTACGTTTGTTCAGGATTGCCAGTCTCTTTTGCACTCTCTGCCACAAACATGAAGAAATTTTAAGAGGGAAAAAAGGAAATGCTAAAATTCATCCAAAGATGCATATTGAAAGATATTGATAAAGAAATTCAACCATAAGGTAACATCCAACAACTTTGTCAAACTTGTAAAACAAAAGATTAGTGCCATTAAACGAGTTTATGCAACTACTGGGTAACTGTCCTCAAAGGTCCTCACCAGGCTTGCAGCCATGCATTGGGAACATCTTCCCATGAATGAAAATATACAAGTACAGAGATGTTCCCAATACATGGCTGCAAGTTTGTGAGAATAGTGTGAGGACCAATTTCACGAGGATGAAATCCAGATTCCTCTCTGCCACAAAGGAGAAAATTAAAAGAGAAAAAAGAAATGTGAATATTCATAAACATATGCATGTTGAAAGAAAAAAGAAAAAATTGAACTATCAAACATCACATTCAACAATCGTGTCAAACCATTAAACGACTTTATGCAGTCATTTTGTAGCTACTACCTAAGCCTACAGACAAGGTGGGACACATGCCAAATTTTGTCTTTTAGTATCTCTTCATGGGTCTCACCATGTCAGTAGAGAAAGGTATCCAAGACTCGCATGAATTCTTGTTAACTAGCATTCCTCTAGACAAAATTTCTTGATATCTTTTGAGGAGGGGGTGGTAAGCCCATCCCCCAACCTGGTGCAAGTGGTATTCGATCCCAAGTCTCCGCTACAACCAGCAGGAGACCTTACCAACCAGTTGGTTGGCACCTTGCTTCCTCCAGGCAAAATTCCGACATAATGTTATGCAGTAACAAGTGTAACTAGTGAAGGATGGCAACATCACTGGAACCTGCTACAAACTTTAAGCATGTTAATTGACCCAAATTGGTCCATCAAACATTTAATGTTATGGACTTCAGTTTTTACTCATGTAGGCCTTTCCTGTACTATTTAGGGAACTTTTGATTTGTTTCAGTTTAATATAAATAAAACCTGCCAATTAATTGTTCTCACTTGCTGATTAAAAACATACTTCCCTCTCCTGGGAAGTCCTCATGTTGCACCCCCAACTTTGTCCTATCAAAAAATAAAAAAATAAAAACATACTTCCCTCTATCATCATCATCATCATCTATGCCTTGTCCCGTCGATATGGGGTCAGGTACATGAATCCTGTTTCACCACTCTGTTCTGTTCAGTGCTATGTCCCTTGTTAAATTATGGATGGTTAAATAATTTCTTATTAATTCCACCAAATCCACCCAAGTCCTTTTCAGTTCGCCCCTAGCTCTTCTGGCCCCTTCAACTTTTCAACTTTAACAGATCACTTGTTCTATAGGTGCCGTAGATGGTCTTCTATGCACGCCACCAAACCATCTCAATCTACTTCTCTTATTTTATCACTTATTAAAGCTACTCCTAGGTTCTTCTGTATGACTTCATCTCTAACCCTGTCCTAGTTTTACCACTCATCCATCTAAGTATTCGCATGTCTTCCCCTTATAAAGTTATTAAAAAAAGAAAATAAAAACAACACCATACATCAAGAGCTCACTGATTGCATAATTTAGACAAATGTATCACATTCAGAAATTCCCTGCAGCACCTATGCGTTTAAGTGTGTGTGCGAGTGTTTTCTGCCGTTCTGCCCAATAAGATTTTAAACTAATTAAAAGAAAGACATGTAGGTGTTAAAAGTGTAACCTGTAGCCTCGAGTCTGTTGATTCTACATGTTCGTCCAAAGTATCCTGTATAATGTGCAAGCAACAAAAATAAGATCAACATCCAATACAGAACTATGAGAAAAGAAAATGATCAGAAACATACAATGAGTCTAGTATGTAAGCTGAGTTCCTCGTTGACTGCCAGTGCAATATGTTTTGTACTTAATACAGTTTCCTCCAATTTCTCAAGACCCTCATCTTGTTCTGCTTCCAATGCAACACCACATATATATATTGACGTAAGTAAACTTAATGAAAATAAGACAATAAAAAAGAATCTTTCTACCAAAAAGGTGAGAATTTGCCTTTCATAATTTGCCTTTGAAAGCCAACAAGACCGTGATTATCCAAGCCGGTTGTTCTGCTCATGACATCAGCTGGCTTTTTATCTGGTCCTATTAAACTGTCTCTATTAGCAAAATTGGACATGTTCAATGTGGAAGCCATCTGGTTGGCTTTTGATTTCAGGTTTGCAAGCATATCCTGACGCCGGTGCATCTCCTTCTCTGTTCTGTCCTTACAATGAAACTCAGCATAAAAAACTTGGGAAACAGATTGATTGAAAACAAAATAGTTATTTTAACTGAAAATTCATGGTTGTATAGCTACCACATTAGATATTGAGTTCAAATATTTAATAATAAGAGCATAATGGAAAAGAGGGGCCCTGGTATGCAAAGTTCTGATTGTCCAGTTGGGAGAACATAAAAACTAATTATGCCATTAATCAATATCCCTACATAAGCACACTCAACCATGTAGTCATGATAGGATCATCATACTTTTAATATTAGACTATATCTGGAGTTTCCATGCAAGTTCAAAACTTATAATCTTGAGCCACCTAATTGATGAGTTGACCTGAACCTGATACAAATATGCTTGATAAGCTTTAGTTTTTTTCTGGTAACAGATGAAATTTCTTGACCATATGTAAAAAAATATGCATGTACATAATGCTGAAGCACCCCCAGGCCCCAACATATAGGCTAGCTTTTGCTACCCATCTCTCTGAAACAAAAGATTCTTTTATTATAACTGACCCCAAAACATAATAACCCTATAAACCCCTGTTTCTCCATGCATCAGCCAACAAGTTTCCTGATCTTTTCATCCACGAGTAAGTGATTCTCATGTCCTTTTCCAGCTATCTTATTTCTTTTATTTGTATTGCCAAGCACTTTAGCAACATCCTCTCAGCCATCCCAGTACCACTTTAGAGTCTCCCCCCACTACTAAATTTCTTGAGTATTTTGGACAACCTCAAACCTTATAAAGCTGCACCAGCTTCAGCTCTTGTGGCTTTCCATTACCTATCAGGCCTGGAGAGATGGATGATATCAACCATTTCTCCACCAATGCCCAGTGTTCCTGGATTACTCAAGCTGATCCATCAAAGTTCAGCTTACACATATATGAGCTAAAGGACTCCATTGCAACCATGGAGGTCTTGCTGTTGATGAGTAAACCACATGCTGCCACCTTCCATGAATGTTTTCTATGAAGAAGGGATATCTAAAGTTTTGATCATTGAAAACCTTAATCACAATGTTGTCCATGATTGCTTCCTCTAGACATGCCTTGTCATTGAAAATTCTAGCATTCCTCTCTTCCCAAATTGCCCACAGCACACTACCCTTGTGCATTTCCACATTAGTATTCCTCTTTTCATTGGTAGTTTGATGGAGGGTCTGAAAAGACTTACAATATTGGCTGTTCGACCCCACCTGCAATCAAACAAAGGCAACCTTTTCCAAATAAAAGTGACATAAAAGCAGGAAATTAATAGGTCATAAGTAGCTTACCCACTTGCATTGAAAGAGAAACATATGTGGGGAGACAACCACCAAGTAGGTCCCATCTTCTCTTATGGAGCATTTCAATACTTCCCAACAGAAAGCTCAAATTTTAGGTGGGACTAGCCCATGCCAACTTTCTTTGACCATAAGTACCTAACTTGGTTTTGAAAAGGAAGATAATGCTTTAAGGCCCCATTTGTTTTTTAGTAAATGGGAGAAGGGATTAGTGAATGGAGAAGAGGTTCCTGTTGACCAACAATCCCATGTTCGCTTTTTGGTAAATCATGGGTCCCACAGTAAACTGCTTTTCCTAGGTATCACTTACATGGGTAAATGATACCCATCTCCTAGGTGGGAAATAGGACAAAATTGGCCCTTCTAATAATGCATTAAGTAGAAAAGTTTGGACAACCTGTTTTGATATAAAAACTGTAAAAAAAAAAAAAAGAAGAAAAGAAAGATAAGAAAATGTTTCAGCAGAGAAAGAGAGATGGAAGAGAATGGGAGAAAGAGGTCCATATACACCTCTTCCTGCAAGTCCCCATTGAGAAAGACATTCTTCACATCAAGTTGGAAGAGTGGCCAAGAGTAAGTAGCTGCTAGTGATAGAAGATCCCAAACTGAACTCATCTTTGCCACTGGTGCAAAAGTTTTCAAATAATCTATGCCATAAGTTTGACTATACCGTTTTGCAACCAGCCTCGCCTTGTACCTTTCTATACTCCCATTAGTCTTGTACTTCACTGTATAAACCCATCTGCATCCAACTGTCTCCTGCATAGCTATCTTCCACTCAGGTTTGGACAGTGATTTAAAAGGCGTGCCTAGGCGCACAGGCGAGGCGCATTTTAGGGTAGGCGCCTCGCCCAGGTCCTAGGTGCAGCCCATTCAAAAGGCGCACGCCTAGTGCACCTTACCAAAGCTTCGAGAATCCCCTATTTTGTAATGTTGTCCATTCATTCATCCTAATAAAATATCTTCTTAAAAGCAATTAAAACTATTAAATTATTATTTTTTGTGTGAAAACTAAGAATTTAAGACCCTAACATGGACTTGTTTGGGCTTGCCTCGAGGGGCGTGGCACAAAGACGGCTCGTAGAATTAGGAATGTAATGCCACATTAGCTACTTGATGCAATTGAGAAAAAAAAGAGATTGTGGGTTTTATATGCTTGAAAATGTTTTATATGTTTGATTTCATTTTTAAATTCTCATTTGAATATGCTTTACATATTATATAGGTTTTTTAAAACATTTATTTTAAAACTTAAGTTTATATTTTTATTAATATTATGTTTTATAATTTTTTGATTTTTTTTTACTTTTTTTGAATTTTTTGCATTTTTTGAATTTTTATCTTTTTTTTTTTAAATTGTGTGCCTTACCTCAAAAAGGTGTGTGCCTCGCCTTGCGCCTCAGGCACAAAATGGCCCTTGCGCTTTTAAAACACTAGGTTTGGAAAGAGCCTCACTAACACTCATGGGTATAAACACAGAGTCAAGGGAGGAAAGGAAGGCCCGGTAGGAAGGGGATAATCCACTATAGGAAAGATAGTATGAGATGAAATGAACAGTACACTTCCTCTTCCCTTTTCTGAGGGCAATAGGGAGATCAAGGTCATCTGCAATGGTGTTAGGAACAGGGGTAATAGTATCGATAGGGAGTGATGTGGGTTCCTTTACTGTGGAATCAACCTCCCTGTGTTGTTGTAGGCGCTGTCGTGTAAAACACTGAGAGACAGGATGCAATGGAGGTGGCAAAGTGGGTGAGATAAGTAGGTCAAACACTGGAGTATACAAAGAAGCTGGAACAGGAAGTGGTATAGATTACTCACTTCCTTCTCCAAAACACTCTCCCTGAGAAGAACCCCTCGAGAAAAAAGGTGTGCATACCCAAGGAAGACTGGATCATAACAACAATACCCCTTCTGATTTCCTGCATACCCAAGGAAGACAAACTTCTTCGCCTTAGGATCCAGCTTTGAGCGGTGAGGACCAAAAACATGGAATGTCTCCCCTTCAAGAAAAAGAAGGTTGAACGGAGTGCTATATCCAAGAACACGAGAAGGCACCCGGTTAATCAAGAACGCTGTTGTAAGAACTAAATCACCCCCAAAACGAACAGGAACTGTAGAGCTCAACATCATGCTTCTTGCTACTTCCACAATATGTTTGTTCTTTTTCGCTACACCATTTTGTTGTGGAGTGTATGTAAAACTGCTCTAATGGATAACTCCATGCTCCAATAGGTATGATGCCAAGTTTTTTCAAAGTATTCCCTAGCATTGTCTGATCTAAACACTTTCACTCGTACCCCAAATTGTATCAGCACCATTTTATGGAATTGTTGAACCAAAGACAATACCTCATCACGAGATCTCATCAAATATATCCAAGAGTACTGAGAATAATCATCCATAAATAAAAGAAAATACCGATAACCACCCATAGTATGTCCCCCACACATCAATATGAACAATATAAAAAACAGAAGAACATCTTTTATTACTTGCTTTAAAGGAATGTCTACAATGCTTTCCAAGTTGACAGCCCTCACACTCCAAATTGGACAAACTAACAGACTCAAACAATTTGGGAAACAGAAAACGTAAAGAAGCAAAAGAAAAATGTCCTAACCGATTATGCCAAAGCATAATCTGACCCACCAACTCTGACTCAATACTCCTGCTGACATGATGACTGATGACTGGGAAGCACATCAAGAAGATAGATTCCATTCACCTCACGACTACTCCCAATCGTCCTCTTTGATTCTAGGTCCTATAAAACACAATGATCAAGGGAAAAAATCATAGAATAGTTCAAATTCTTTGTCAAAGTACTAACAAATAAAAGATTAGTACTCAGTCTAGGAACATGAAGGACAAAAGGTAGGGTAATGGTATTAATTATCCTGACAAACCCTTTCCCAACTATGGAAACATGTGATTCATCAGCTGTGAAAACTCTATCTCTGCCAAAGCAGGGGTGGTATGAGGTGAAAATGGTGGAAATGTTGGTCATATGTTTTGAGGCTCCCACATCTATAATCTAGGGAGGTCCCCCGTTACCTATAGTGGATACATAATTTGCAATGGCATGTGAACTACCTGTGTGTGCAAATGAGGTAGAATGACTACCTCCAATCCACCTGCACCTTGCTGTCCACTTGATAATGAGTTGGAAATGGTTGTATCCTTCTGATTTAGAAACTGCCCATATCTCTCCAATTCGGCCCTCACTACAGCTGATGGAACAAACTCTGGAGAGGTTGTAGTGGGTGGCCCTGATAAATCACCAGTCACTGCCATATTCACATTTCCCTTCTTATTTCTGAGCCGTCTCGGTACAAGGTGTGGGTAAATCTTCAAACAGGTATCTCTGGTATGTTTGGGTTTCTTACAGTAGTCACAGATCAGATCCCTTTTGTCCTCCTTTCTCGGTTCATTTCTACCCTTGTCCCCACTTGGCTTAGGCTTAACTATGCTAACCATCGTTGACTACTCAAGGCTTGGGTTCCTCATCATCACATTCCTCCTACTCTCCTCTCCAGACACAAAGGCATATGCCTGAGAGAGAATTACGCCGTCTCGAGAAAGAATATGTTGTCGTGCAATATCATACTCGAGGTTAAAGTCTAGCTAAAAACTCAAAAACCTTATTCTTCTTTACCAGCTTCTGATAAGTTGTTGCATCTTTGCTACTTTCCCAAAC